AGTTCTTTGTTACGCTGGTTTCCTGCAGTACTTCTGATAGTGCCTAATAGCTGTAAGGACCAGATTACAGTGCAATACACAAAAAGCAGTTTGCTTTCAGCCCTGTGCAAGGCTCGCTACCAATTTTTGAAAGTTATTTTCAGGAGTAGCCTTCCTCAGCAGACATTTTCTGGGATGCAGTTAGTGTTCGACTTGCCAGGTGCCTGATGTGCAATGCAGTGATGTTACCAGGCTGATTACTTGGATGGCTCTGAAGTGAAGGCATCTGGTTAGGACCCTTGGCTAGCCAGAAGAAAAGGCACTAATTAAATCTTTCTTGCCTTTTCAGGTTTGTCCCTCTGATTAGCCACTCTAAAACCCAAATCACCCCAGGGAAAGCCACAAAATTCTCTTTAAAACGGATAGGCATGGTTAAATGTTCCTCCGCTAACAAAAAAAAAAAAGAAAAAGCTAGGTTAGCAAGTTATTTCTGTACTCTAACCCTTAACCCTTTCAGTCTGTCAGAAGAAAGCATGAGTGATCTCATGGAATTTGCCAAAGAATCTCATTGGCATACACCACTTGACCAAATTGACTTTTTTCCCAAGCTGAATTTGCTATCAAACGTATATTTATACCCACACATGTAGATTGGTATCTACTTGGCATCTTCTTTGAGGCAAACGATGTTCCTGAATTTAGCATATGCCAAACCTATAATAGCAATTAGTAAACTGTGACCATTGCCAGTTTCTTACACCTGAACCTGTCACCTTCTCTGCAGTGAGAACAGTTCAAACATGCCAATGTACAGATCACCAGAGCTCTAATTTTATTCTTCCGACATCCACACATGCTGACTAGGAAGCTACCCTTAATGATCAGCATTTCCACTGGTCTTTTGCCAAAGCCATGGTGAGATCTTTTCCTCTCTTTCTTATTAGTGAATGCCTGGGATATTTTTACTCATAAAAATTTTCTGGCTGCCAAAAATAAAGCCTTAATACCACAGTAAGATCTATGCTAAGTTCACAGCGTCACAGACTTGTTCTGTGACCTTTGACAAAGTATTCTATCACAAGTATTTATATGACTGTGGTTTCAGCAATATATTTATAATATAATTGGACATTGCAAAGGAAACCTTTTTTCTCAGTGAACATATGACAGAATTAGTTCACCACTAAAACAAAAATCACAGGTAATGCTTTCATTCCTTACATTGCATTTATACACTTGGTAACTCTGAATGGGATAACTCAGCAGTCTTCTAAAGGATGCACATACAGAAAACGTGCACAATGGCCTTGAGTTGTAACAAGATCCCCTGTGAAAATATAAATATCCCTTGGCACAATTAAATATTATTTCTGGGAAAATATTTTTAGCCACTGACAGAGACCCTCTCAGGTAGACTAACTCTGAAAGTAAAAAAAACTGGTAGATACACTAGACATGGTAAAGAACAATGTGCTACATTGCAGGGTTTTAACCCCAGACTGGCTGTAAAGTTTCAGATGTTTAACTGATTGCTTCAATTTCATAGCTTCTGTAACCTTTAAGATATTGGCAAGATTTCTGCAGACCAAAAGCTCTCCAAAGTCTGATGTAAAAATGTACCTCCAAATTTCCCGCTTTGGAATTCAAATAAAATTCAGTAACATAACACTGGGAAAAGAAGCCCTCAATGGTACAAAATATAACGGCCTCTCCAAGCCCACATCTATATTTGAATATCCTTGTGACAAGACCTTAAGGTATTCAAAGGAGTGAGATGGAGCTGCTCTTACCTTTTACTTAAAGCACTCCAAAACCACCAAGAGCCCTTTTGATCTTCAAAGGTAGTGTTATTGGACTGCAGAAATCTCGGTTCTGCTAGGTGAAACATGAAAATTGCAAACAAATCTCCTCCCTGCTCGTTATGTCTGTGCCTGGCACAGCCTTTCTTCTTCCCATGCTCTCAGTCCAGCAGGGTTTTCCAAAGTTACAAAAATCTGTAGCTACAGAAGCTCCTTTAGATCCGTAGGAAATTTTCCTTTTACTCTTCCCCTTTGAAACTCAGATGTGAGGGCTTTCTACAACTCTTCTCCACATCCCCACCTGTGCTGCAAAATCCCAACTCACTGTCTCCTTCCTGCCTAACTCTTCCCCTGGGTACTTCCCCAAATGAGCTCTCTCAGGTGTCTTCTGGCACTGTCTTTGCCTCACCCCTCAAAAACTCTCAGATTCAGTATTCAGTGGCAGACAGGACAGCACAAGGGAGCAGTCCTTCTCCTGCTGCATAGCCAGGTCCTTTTATCAGAAAGGCCAGCAAAAAAACAGTAAAGGGTGATGAAACACACACAAAAGGTTATCACCTTCATCAGAGCTTGGAAAATGATTATGTCCTTTTTGAACTGTGCTGAGGTGGTTTGCCCAACAGAAAACCCTTTCCAGCTGTGTCTATATTGCTACCCAAAACCAGTGCCTTATACCTATGAGCACATTTCATTGTGCATGTCACTAATAACAGACACTAGGGTTATTTTGTATATTATAAAGAGCCATTTCTGTAAAATTAAGTTGAATCCTACTTTTGGTGCATGTTGCTGTTGCTTTTATGTGATTAGTGTGAAGGGTTCTATCTCAAGTGCATGGATCCACTGCAGATATGCTACACAAAAAGACAGGAGAGAGTTTGGGATGTGAAAAATATACAGCCTAAACGGTGCCAAACACAGGCACATCCCTTCAAAATATTACCCTGATTTTGTGAGATTAAAGATTGAGTTATTTCTTTGAACTCTTACTCTGAGATGTCTTAGAGAAGACCTGGCAGAACCCAATCTTCACTGTATTTAAACATATTTTCTGAATCCTTATCTGTTCAGATATGGTTTACAGAGACTCATGTCTTGGTTTTTGTCAAAGATAACTGAGGGGTTATGCAGGTCTAAACATAAGTCTTCATATCAGCAGTAAGACTCGAGGAAACTCTGAATTGCAGCACTTTATACTGAAGGGATCCCTAAATGATTCTTTTCTTCTCACAATCATTCAAGAACTTGAAAGTCCAGGGAGTAGCCTCAAATCTCTCATTCCCATAAATTTAACAGAGGTCACAGCATAGCCAATTCAGCTGAAAAGTGTTATTACAGAAAAACTTGATGATACTTTTATGTTCACTGATGTGAATATAATTCTCTGGGTCTTTTAGCTACACATAGCATGTCTTATCCACAGAGACACTTCAGCAGATATATACGGTACCATGAGCAAAGTTAAAAGTGATGAATTCTCTGATTTATAACTTCTACTGATAACAAGATGATAGAAAATCTTTAATGTATGGGTGTTATTATATACACTGTGTAACTTCACTCAGCTGAGAAGGGATGGGAAAGAAAAAAATATTTATCACACCTGAATGAGGGGGACGCTTCCTTGAATGACCCTTGTTGCCTGTAAAGAATTGTGCTGATCTCTAACCAATGCACAAAATTCTAATAGATAGGGTTAGCTTTGGAGGTGCTAAGTCTTCATGTGGGTCTATTATCCTTCTTGCTTTTAGGGATCACACATGGGAAGAAAGATATATCTATAGAAGAGCTTTTTTTCTTGACAGATTTAATCTTCCGAAGAGATCTAAAAATGCTGAGCTGACATTGCACCTCCTAAAGATCCACCACTGGATTTTAACTACACAGGCACAAGAAACTACTATAACTAAACTCATTACTAAGGAGGAGCTAGAAAACAGGCCAGACACTCCTCCTTCTGTTTAGAAGCTTTGGTGATGGGCAAAACTGGACTCAAGTGAAGGTCTCTTGGTTATACTCCATTTAAAGTCAAGGCTGGGTTCAACCACATTAGGCTGCAGTTGCACATCAGTGCCATAAGAGTCCTCAGCACTGGTCTCAGCATGATGCAGAACTAAACACACAGCCTAGATAAATATTAATTTGTTAATCTTTATTAGAAATCTACTTTTAAAGCTGATTTGCAGTGAAGTCACTTAGTCAGATGAAATCATTGCACACTAAACAATCTTGTTAGGGATGTTTATCCAAGCAAAGGACACTCAATTGCATTTTCATTAGTAGCACTATATGGTTATTGTCCTTAAAGACAAGGCTCTTAGACTTAATCTATTTGTTTACTGATGTCTCATTGCTTACAGTTGAATTTTCTTGAGAACTAAAAGCTAATTTTAACTACTCTTTGGTATTACAAAATCAGATTGCAGGCAGATTAATGAAACAAAGATTTGAGGACTGAAGGTGGTCCTGTCCAGAATCGTAGCTCTGCCAGTGCTGAAGACTCTCCAAAACTTTGAGTTGTGGGTTATCTAATTGTAATGATGCACATTATGAAATGGAACATTATTTAATGAGACGGTCACTGGCTGTACTGAACAGCAGGCAATTTATCTATCAGGAAAAAAAGGGGTTTTTTAAACAGGAAATGTTTCCCTCTGCTAAATTCTGTATGTCTCATGAAGATGGGAAAGATGGTTGATCTCATCCTTTTTGTTTTCTCTAACAGTTTTCTGGAAGAACAAGGCCGGCCATTAAATGAGGGGGAGAGTGTCTGTTTTCCTTGCTTTGTATCACTCCCTGCTGTCCTGCCCATGGGACAAAGGCAGCAGAGGCTAAGGCAGAGTTCACCACTGGCTTACTGAAATAAATAAAGAGCTGTCCGAGACTCCTCCTCCAACGTCAGGACAGCCACGGGTTGTGAGAGCCTGAAGCTGAGCCTTTATTTTTGAAAATGGGAAAAATATAGTGCCTTTCCTAACAGTGCTTTTTAGTTTTCAGCTTATTTTCTGCTCTCTTGACTAGCCCTTCCAGGAAGATGACACTGCATTTTATATTATGTTCACACGTATTTGTACTGATTTTTGTAGTGCTAAGTCTAGTTAAAGTCAGGGTGTATTTTACTTAGAAGCCAGTTTTCTCCTTTTGTCAGTTATAAAAAAATATTTCTAGCTAACAGAAGTTGTATTATAACATTAGTAAATAACGTTTTTGTTTCTTGTACAGCTTTGCAGTAAGGGTTCTGCTATAGACAACCCCAAGTCATCTCCTGAAGATATTTCCAGTATTGCCAGTTTTATTGAGACAAAGCTTGTAATTTGCTACTTAAAACTGAAGAAGCCTGATGATGCTCTGAATCATGCACACAGGTAAAAATAAATATTGATTAGATACACTGCTAAGACTGAAATCAGAAGCTAAACAAAGACTATGAAAAAATCCCATGCTGGAAGAATCGGTGTAATAATGAGAAAAGAGAAGTCAATAAAACACAACTTACACATGGCACCGATGTTTAGATTGGTCTATTTCTCAAAATTTGAGACATTAAGCCACAATAGCTATATATATATTGACTGCTTTAATAATGCAGTAGGTAAAGATACGCAGGTGAGTCACGTACATAGCTCAGGGCACCCTTGGGACTGAAGCTAGACAAATATAAACACGCTCAGCCTTACATGACAGCGATGACATTGCAAGCTCTTGATCTTTTCCAAGATAGATTAAGTCAGGGATGTCTTCAAATTATTTTCATTACACAATTCCTCATGGGCTCACTTGTGGTGCACATCAAAGGCCAGCACCACCAGCAATGCATAAAGAAGCCAGAAACAAAACTTGCACATGATGGAGATGAAAACCCTGTTAGTTTCAGATGAGTTAGGATTTTGCTGGGTTTGTGCTGTCTTTAATTACCATTCAGGCATAACGATAATTTCTGTTAAGGGTGTGCATGTCCTGCCAGCAACACTTCACTACTGAGGTCTCCCCTTGTATGAGACGAATTAGGATGGATGCTGCAAATAGTGCACGGTGAGGGTTTTTACATACAATCATCTCAAACAAATGTAACTGCAAGAGAGTAGTTGCAACAAAAGAGGAGGCACATGCTTGTGCCTAACATACAAGACACAGTGGTGAAGAGTAATCCATGGCTAAATAAAAGTGATACCATCACTGCAGCAGGTTCGTTTAGCTATCCACAAAGTCATAGGAAGTCTGAGAATCCTGATGTAGTGGCAAGGTCTTTGCCTCCTGTCCCCACTCCTCCCCACCCATTTCCCAAGCATTTTTGGTCTATAAAGCTACACCTGCTTGGAGCCTATCCACACTATGGGAGTGCGTCCTTCAGACTAGTGCCACGTACCATCTGGGCTGGGAGGCTGAATGCTCAGGAGTGGTTAGAGAACAGTAGGTGCTCTCCCAGGGCCCATCTAGTGTGATGGAACCATGCTTCTTTCAGATGGAATATTCTGTTAGGCGAGCCAAAGCATAGGAAGTGGGGAAGACTGTGAGACTCCCATTAGAAACAAAAATAAATCAGTAGCAACGACAAAAAAGGATGCCTCATGCAAACTAGAAACTAAGCACACCCTTTCATGGTTTCTCAAAGAACATGTTAGAAACGGAAAAAAAGTTTGACTGAACTCCCAGTTTTTGGAAAAATGGTAATGATCGCTTTCTTATTCCAACTGTGATTTCCAAGAACACTAAAATAGGGAAGCTATTTGGACAGAATAAATATGACTAGAAGAGGAATCACTTTTTTTTACCTCCCTTAAACTACCTCGATTTCAAAAAAGTAAGATGTATTGACCCCACTGCTGCAGAAATGAAAGCCTATTCAGACATGTTTTGGTTTCAATTGTCTTAAAACAGAAACCATGACCTACAGAAACTCATGACCTAGAAAGAAAATAAATGGAGTTACAGTGAGATCACTAGAGAACTAAAATAGGGGGAGGGAAAAAAAAAAAATCTTCACTATTCTTTCCTATATATAATTATAACCATTTGTTCTTAACTCTTTTGGTTACATGGCACAAAGAAAAGTAGTACTCAGTAATGCCTATTTTCAATAAAATTGAATTAATAACTTGCAGAATGGGAATAAAACTACTGACTTCACTTGTCACATTGTAAAATGGAGGAACTGGTACAATAGTATACCAGTAAAAAAATATTCTGAGGCATAATTAACATAAAGACACAATCTGAAATATAATCAATAGCTATGTTTTTCAAAATGAACAAATAAATTATTCCAAGCTGTCCTACCAAAAATAGCTTACTGCCATCAGTTAACTAGTGCATATAGAATTTGTATTCTCATTGAGGTTTATGTCATCACCACATTTTAGTGGTTTGCTGGTAATCCTTTGGCATTAATCATGAATCCAAATTAAAATATTCATTTCTGCATTTATTTGCATTTACTGAACTGTTCTTTCTTTAATTTCATGTAAATTTCACAGCTCCTGCATTCATTTCTGAAGCCTTATTAGCCAAAAATCAGCTTTAATATTCTCACACGTAGTTGTATCAGATCTATAGCAGTGGGGTTTGCTAGGAAGAAATCCTATGGAATCTCACAATTAGAGAAACAGAGAAAACACAGAAAAATTCCAGCAGCTCCGTTTCAAATGGTTGAAGAGCACGCATCTGCAGGGGGAATAGCTTTCCCATTCTTAAGGAAGAAAAGGGAGTACAGTTTATGTCATCAGCTTTAGATCCTGTGTGAGAAGCCATGTCTGGGTCCTTCTGAAAAGTGGAAGTTGTATTCTCCAGTTTCTTAACATCAAAATTTAAGGCTGCCTTTGGCATCTCTGGCACAATTTAGGACACTGGCTGTGTTCTGATCATTTGTCAGACTGAGACAAAAGATTTACCCTTTGCAATCAAACACTATTAAAACCACTTCTCATCTGTCACAGCTCTGAACAATTGTGCCATGGATTGGCCTCACCAAGCAACATCTGCAGTAACCTCCTTGATGACCACCACTTTTCATCATAAGATAGCCATCAAAATAATTCCTAACTTGCAGTCTGAAGCTATAAAATGAATCACACAATATTTACATGCCCTGTGGTCCTTTTGGCCCAGGCATTATGGCATACCAGGGTTTAATGATCTTAATAACCCCATATGGCTTGCTGAGAAATTAGATTTTCCCTTTGGTTGCAGAAGGCAATTTTCAATTATAGCAGATGGCAAAACAGTGAAGGTCTGAGAAGTCAAGAACTGACTAAGAAACCTCAGATTAGTACTTAGGCCTTATGTTGCTCAGCCTAATAATGTCAGTAGTTGAATTTTTGCCGCAAATGAAAACAATCATGAAACAGAGCATCGCATTTCAGCAGGGCAGTTCCCCAGTTATATCTGTTCTTCAGAGGGCCAGGCCCATCAGAGAAATCCATAAAGCTGCAGTCACATGTGGAAAGACAACCCACGGTGTGTCACATACACAGCTCAGCAACTGTTAAGATTCAGTTTTGTTTGAAATTGGAGAGAGTGATGCTGAACTCCATGACAATTGAAGATGGAGGATCCTTCAAAACATGATATACATAACTTTCTCAGTGCAACTCTATATCCCTTTACAGTTTCTTCGTTTCTTTTGTTTTTCTTTCCCTGCAAGCACGCTAAAATAAATCTGCATTGGCACCATGTGACTTGCTGTTTGCACGTGGGAAAATAACACAGAACCTTTCAAATAGAAATGTGGTTTCTGCCACTGTTCTTCCACTTCCTCAGCTGCTGTGGTCCTCACGGCACACAAGATCTGAAGAATGAGAGACACGTGGCTTAATCCAGTTGCCTAAATGTGGGATGCTGTTCTTAGAAATTCTGTGCATGGATCAAGCACCAGAAAACACGGAAGAGATGTCAGCTACACAGCAGAAGTGGCAAAATGCATCTTGCTTCATTTCTGCCCACCCTTGATCACTCGCTACCCAGGTCTACTCTGGCTGCTGATGCCAAAGGACTCCTCTGGAAATAAGCTCCTCAGCAGGAGAACAAGTCTGCCCACCATAGGTCAGAAGTCAGACATCTTCCCAATGGATCACCATCATGCCATAGGAAGCCCACGGCTGGTAGAGGGAGGTGCACTGGGAAATGCCATCTGGAAGGCTATTTGTGACCTGCCTTCTCTCGGAGCATCCCTGGGCTTCGCTCCCTGCCCTCCTTCCCTCAACCCAGAAATAGTGGAAGTAAGGGCTGAGGGGAGGAAGAGGATTCAGACATTGTGGCGTGCTTCTTTGACATCAGCTCTAAGTAATGCCTGAAAAATAGCTTCACAATAATGAGGATGGCTGTATGGAGTTATTCAAAGTCTTTGGGGGTTAGCAAAGATTTTCCTGTGTCCTTGCAGACTGCTCCGCAGCATGACCTGCTCCAGTTCTCTTTCTCCCTCCCTCCTAGAAAGGCAACGCATAGAGAATGTAATAAATCTGTAAAGCTTTTTCTGCTAGGCCTTTTTATGTGTTTGGTGGAAGGCAAGGCTCTCTAATGCCTCTTGCACAATTCATAGGGAGACACATGAAGTAGAAAATAACACCTCTGTTAAGCAGCACACGATTGCTTTAGTGATGACTTAACAGAGGGAATCTCTTATGGAGGCACAGTGGGGGGAAAAAAAGAAAAAATCTAAACCAGCTGAAGCCTCACAGATTTAATTCTAAATGCTCTGTATTTTTCCCAGTGACTTTTCAAATGCTTACAAAATATTTAAAACAATTATAAGTGATCAAGCTTTATACAATGTGTCAAGAAAAAAGGCATCTCAAAACTTGGTCAGTGTATTATAGATGGGATGAGTCAGGACTCTTTAATCCAGATTAATTCAGAACTTTCAGTCTAAAAATTCAATATTCAGCTACTTCTTCATTCCCTAGCTTCCTTATTTTGCACCTCTAAAATAGGACTCTATTAAAGCAAGTTGAAAAATGGAATTCTAGTGAAATATTAAATAATCAGAAATAAATAATGCAATCATGCTATGATATAGTGTAGTCAGTGGGCATTAAAATGGAGACAGAATAGAAGAGCTTTTTTTTTGTAGAAGTACAAAAAACAAGAAACACAATGGTGGATGCTGCTAATCTGTGGAAAGTCTGTAGTGCAATGTATACTTTTCTCTAAACTACTTTCCTAATTTCTTTATTTTCTCAAAAAAAGGAAGAAAAAGAAAGAGAAGAATTAGCAGCACCTAATTACTTAAGCAATTGTGTTAGGCATATTGCAATATACATAATAGATGAGATATTATTAATACAAAGCTATTCCATTGAAATGCTCTGGATAATATAAACTAGAAGTGCTCTTAAAAAATAATTCCTTCTCATGCAGCATTTCAAATATT